GGTTGAAGGGCATCGCTCTTAGGTTGGAGGCCATCGCTAGTAGGTTGCAGGGCATCGCTACTAGAACAAATCAAAAAGTAAAATATAAAAGGCCAAAATGTAGAGTTTTGTTCCTCAGTGCTGCCACCATAGTGATTTCCAGTGTTTCGGAACATGTAGACCTCCAGCCTCCCACTTCAACATCGCGCCTCCCAGCAGGTTCCCCGCTGAGACCTGAGTCCAAGTAACTTTCTCCACCTGCGACGGGTGTCGCTTCTCCGGAAAATGGTTTCGCCCAAAGTCTGCCAGGAAGCTAGCAGTAACAAGTGCATCGCTACTAGATGCTACTAGTAACAAGTGCATCGCTTCTAGGAGCAAAGGGCCTTACTAGTAGTAACAAGAAGCTAGTAGTAAAGGAGGCTATTCTTCCTTTTTATTGTTTCTAATAGCAAGCATTGTTACTACTAGTAAGGCACTTATTACTAGAAGCGATGCACTTGTTCCTAGTAGCTACCTGTTTTGTGGAGGAATGGTCTTCCAGGAGGCGGTTTTACAACCTTTCCGGGGAGTGTACCTCATCGCTTGGACATCATGCTCGGCTTCCAGAATCTCCGAAACACAGCAAGCAAGTGGCGGCGGTACGATGCGGAAAAAGGCTCACGACGGGTCAAGAAGTGGTCACCAAAGGTGCATGGCATGTTCCCAAAAACCCAGGGAAGTTCCTGTTAAAACGTTGTGGACAAAGGGACTTCCTCAACTCCAACCAAACTAAAAAAGCAACATTCAAGCGCTGCCGTGTCACCAATCCCAAGAAAACCTCGGGTGACCATGGCAGTTCCTGCCACCCCAAGACTCGCCTCCATGTTGATTTCCAGCGTCTCCGCCCTCACCTGTTGCGTGGGACGAGCGATCCCGCTTTCAGGCGGAGACCAATCCCAGCCCGGCCACCAAGAAGAGACCCACTACACCAGCCGGAAGACTGTCAAACAAGCTCTGACCTTCCTTCTTTTCGGTGTCTATCTTGTATGTATAAGCGGTTCATAGACCAGAAGGTCCCAACCACCGGACCCAACCGGGTGACCGGTACAGTGAGTGCTCTATTTGGGCGAACCCTCCAGCAAACATGGTTGGTGTACGGAATCCACACCTCCTCTTCCTGGCTCAGTTCCCAAAAGAGAAAGACCCAACAAATCTGCAGGGTCCTCCTTGCCAGTCAGATCTAAGTAAGGTAGACTCTTGATAAATACTCCCTGGATCTTTCGCCTGTGAGGCTCGTTTCTCGCAGAACATCAAACCAAAATTCAAGCAATCGATCATGGAAGCGGAATTCCTGGGCTTCAGAACATGGTTTTCCTCCACCTCACCAAACCTGTCGCCGAAACTTAGGCAGGTTTTCGTTTTTTCTCGGGCGAGAGGAATGGTTCAGTTGACCTGATGGGAGTTTCAGTTGAGCATCACTCAGCAGTGTCCGTACTTGGGAGCAATCGGAAGGTCAATGCCAGGTACACCGGTGTTCACCACCGGGGGTGTCCCCTCTATTCAACCAATGGTAAAAGGCCACCGACATTTCAGCCATCACATCACCCATGGTTTCGGTTGACATCTCTTTTTTTGTGAGGAATCTCCGAAGAAGACCCACCACATCACCCAGCCTCTTGAGCCATCTGCCGGGAGATCTGTTCCTGGGCCACTCGGGCAGCGTTTGAGCAGCTCAGCACCAAGCAGCTCAGCTCGATCCAGGTGGTACCATGTGCAACCACAGGCGTAGACAGTAGCTGGATGGTCCTTTGGAAAACGGAAAACGCTTGAAAGGTTTGGGGGATCGCAAGTGGTTTCAAGAAGTAGATGGCACAAACACCCCTGGATGTCTTCTAGATGGGCATATCAACTTTGAATTGGGCATTGTGTCACTCTCAATCACCCAAAAGGTTCAGGAACCTGGGCGCGATTGTCGCTGCGACTTATTGTGGATCAATGGTGATCGCCAAATCCTTCACATTCATTTGGTGCATCAGTCTTGATCCATCTCTCACTGACGATTCTTTTCTAGGTGCCACCGTTGGGTCTTCACCGGCTCAAAGTGGATGGGACCAAGCTCACTAAACTGATGGGGCTGAGAATTTTCGAACAGTCACCTTGCTGCTTCGCTCTTGGCCATCCTCATTACCACTGCAGCGGTCCACCTGCGCGTGTGTACTACACCTCTCCCCATCGGCCGCTGTGGTATGGGCGCCCCCACCAGGACCGCCGTGGGCTTGCCCGCCAGCTTCGGTTTCGAGTCCTAGCGAGCGCCGACGGTGGCTCCGCGTGCAGCCGTCCGTTTGTCCGTCGTGACCGGCGGCGAGCCAGCCATGTCATGAAGTGGGATGAAGTGGTTCTGAAGCGCAAGCGTCTAAGGTCAAGAAAAGCCAAGGCTGCGTCCCTTTTCAGGTGATGTTAGTATGAGTCATGAGATGTCATGAGTCCAGTGGGATTCAGGTGAGGCCCGCGAGCCCGCGAGGAACCGCGGTTCCGCGGTCCGGCACGCGCTGACCCAGCAACTTCGGCATGCTCCTGGCGGGACGGAGACGCGGAGCATCGACCAACAAAGGTGGACAGTGACCTGAACTAGACCTGAACGAGTCCCCGGAAAACCTGGGCTAACTATGGGATAGTCGAATAGTCGGGTTCTTCAACCTCTGTTGGTGAGCCCACTTGGTGGATCAAGGCTTCTTCTCAAACGAATCTGGTATGCCCAACTCAGCACCGATGGAGAGTGAAGGTTTACTAGGGGATCCCGGCTAGAACTTAGTGATGGCGTCAGCAATTTGATCTATCTGAAATGACTGCAAGGTGTGCAACCCCATTGTCATCTAGATTGTCATGAGTCACGAGCCGCTGCTTGAGTCATCATCAGTCTTTTTGCTTGCGAAACCTCCAAAGCCCTTGCTTGGGTTTGGGCATCAACTCTGCTGACAGGGGTCGTGACAGGAAGTAAATTTACATACCCATCCATCTTCCTTCCTCGCCCTTTCCCCTGCTAGGTGTGAGACCTTGAAGTGCACTCAAAGGCCAAGCGGCCAAGCAATCTGGTGTCACATCCAGTATCGTTTCGATTTTCGGTGGGCGCTTCACCACGCCCCTCCACTGCCTAAGACGATCTCAGCCCACTTGCCACTTGGCAAAAGGGTCGCTCCTGCCATCTCCTGCCCCCCAGATGCTCAAAACCTAGGGATTTGAGACCCCAGACCCCTCAAGAGGATTCGGGTCCAGGGTCGCGTCTGCCCCTCATCCCCTCATCCCCTTCTTCCCATGCCGGAGGGACTTGGTCTTCTTCAGTGTGGGCCGGAGCTGGCGGATGGCCTCGGTGCTTCGACGCCCACGGCGCCGTTCACTCCGAAGGGAAAGATCGGGACACCGGCCGTTCGCTCCAAACACCATGGGTTTCCTCGATTTGTCCCTTTTCGTAAGCAATTCTGGGTATAACAGATGTCCAAAACCCATTCTACTCCATATGACGGTGCAACCTCGAACTGGAGCGCTGCCAAGACCACCTCTGTCGGGTGATGGTCCTTTACATTTACGGGAGTCAGTAACTGGAGGCAGTTCGAACAACATCCAAATAGAATACCCAGCTATTGCTTTCCCCAACGCAAATCCAAGGAACTTCGGAACCTCCCTCCAACCTTCTGGGTGAAATCCGCCCGCCCCTGAGGCTCCGCTGGAGTTGACTTGTTGCCCACCAGCCTCGCGAAAGAAACATGGCCATGTTGGCTGGGAGTCCCGTCGACTATGAAAAGAATGGTCAAAAATAGGTATCCGATATCAGGAACTTCCTTGCCTTCAGTCGGTCTAGTCCTATAGTCTAATTGGACTTCTAGGCTTTTGGCCGCCGATCTTCGGCGAAAGCTCGCAGCGACCGACGGCTTACCGGGCTCCTTGAAGCGGCCACAGCGGTCTCGACGATCGACTGATCGACGCGATGCCGCTCCAAAGCCAGCCACGTGACGTGTTCCGGCTGGGGGGGCTGTGGGGCTTCCCAGTAGCTTGAGGGGCCTCCACCTCCCCCAACTCCTGTAGTTCCCCTATTCGGTGGCCCCTCGCCCCTCCTTTGGGGGGAGGTGGAGGCCCCTCAAGTCTCGGAGTCCCTCACGACGATGAAAGGGGAAAACCGTCGGTCGTGGATGTGTGGTGGATTGTGTCCGTCGCATTGGAGGAATCCTTCAGTTGGGGAAGTCGTGCGACGACTGCCCCCCAAAATGGTGGTTTCTTTCTTGACCGACTGTTATGGGTTGACTGGGACACACCCTAAATGTGAACATATCAATTGATGCTTGAATGCTTGAAGGCATAACACCAGACCCTGATTTATGCAGTGAATAGTGCGCAATCCGCCAAACCCTAGTTTGACTGACTCTGCTCAGTATTTACCAAAATACTGCGAAGTATCAGAAATCACATGAGTCTTTCAGACTTCAGACTGAGTCTTCTCTACTCGGACCCACAAGGGGTGGTTAATGGACACCCCTTAACCTCTAAGGGGCTATCAATAGACACCCCTTAGGGTGTCCTGGTATAGACTTCAGACTTCGGCTGTCTTCACCCAACGAGATCTGTCCGGCCCCACCCTTCGATGCGCTCGATGAAGGTCCGCTCGTCCCGCTCCAAGGCAGCAGCGTCCAAGCGCTGCCTGCGGAAGAAGACGAGATGCATCGGTGGATCTGCGGTGGATCCTCAGGACCAGGTCCGTTGGATTGACCTCTTTTGATCATTTTTTTGTAGCATCTTCACAAACCGGTCGTTGCCATTTGATCGAACCAAAACTGCTACGTTCGGAGCGATCGGACGCTACGCACGGAGGTTTCTCTTCTTCTCTTTTGAACGGCTCAATGAGGTTTTCCAACTCCAGTTCAGGACCAGGGGACCTGGGTCAACCTTTGGTGTAATTGACATAGGGCGAACTGCCAGGGTTTGGCTTGCACGCCTGCACTTCTGTTTTGGGGCAAGAATGGAGAGAGTCCATTCAGTGGATAACAGAAAATTATCAAATGACCTTTTCTTTTCTTGGTTTGTTGGTCGTTTCGCAACACGGGATGAAACGGGCCTAGGGCCTAGTCGAGCTCACTGGGGGGAATCTTCATATCCCCGTTCGCCTTCAGTTCGACCAGTTTCAAAAATGGTTGAGGTGGTTTTGTAGTGCAAACTCCTTAGTAAAACAACGGTTCTTCACGATTCAAGCTACAAAATCAATGGTGAGCCACGAACTCTTCTTCTCTCCACTCCATGGTCGATCCTGACGGCCTTTCGTGAGATTCTGATTACCGTAACCCCTTCGTTGACGCAAAAACCCTTGGATCACCAGTTACCCCCACCCGTTTTCGGATGGCGCGCCGTTTCCGCTCCGGATACAGATCTCCTTTCATGAAGTCGTGCCCAAACACGGATTCCAAGCACCATTGATTCAACAGCCTTCACCACGGATGGCGCGTTTGACGGAGTCTGTTTCGACGACCAACGCCAGCTCCACCGACAGCTCCAGCTGGTCGAGGGCGTTCAAGACGGGCGAGTCGCCGGTTGCATCATCCCGGGTCGCCGGTCGCCGGTCGACGTGCACCTCCGTTGTCCGGTGAGGATGTCGGTTTCCTGGCGGCCAAAAAAGGAACCCCTGCGGGTTGGGGATGTGAGAGAGAAAGATCATGTAGACTCGACGCATGAGTAAACCCCATGTGAAGAGGATTTTCCATTTCAATTGGGTGCTTTATTAATCAATGAGTCTACATTAGCTCAAATTAGGGAGATCTCCCAAGAGAAAACCCCTGCAATTCGAAGGGAACATGGACCAGCCTCCCCTCGCATGGCCTGCCTTTGCGAGTTGTTAGAAGGTCTCTGTGTCAGACTCATCTCCCAGAAGGTCTCTTGGGGTCAGCTCTCTTGTAAAAGACATCCTTCGCCCAAGAAGCATTTTTTGGTCACGGAAGTGGAAGTGCTCCCATGACTTCTGGTGGAAACAGGGAAGCTGCCCAGATGCTCCGTTCACAGCCCCTGGTCCCTCAAAACCGGAAATTGAGACCCCAAACCCCTCCAAAAAATTCGGGCGCAGGGTCGCGTCTTGGATTCTTATGAAAAGCCTTTGTTTCTGCTTAGGACAGACTGATTCCAGCTTTGAGCTCATTCTGATCGGAGTCTGATCGGCCTACCGGAGGGGATGAGGGGTCGTGTGCGTTCCGTGCTGTTGCACCGTGCGTTCAGTTCATGTGGGAACACTTAGATGGAAGAAGCATCGCTACGTAACAAAGGGCATCGCGACTCGAACAGAGTCAAGGATGCTACGAATGTAACACATGGAAGATTTCGGTCGTAAAGTGTGAAGAACCCTGTTTCATCCGGTGGTCTGTCACTTATGCTTGATTTGGCTTAATTCAGGAACCGAGAACATATCACCAGAAGGGGATTTGCCCAGTTCGGGAACATAACAAACCACCTGATCGGCCAAACCAGTGCCAGTCGACACTTTTCTCCGGTTTCACCGGTGGTCTGCCATCAACCCGTTGCTTCGGTCCCCGGCGCGGCCTTTTTCACATTGTCCTCAGTGGCGATGAAACGCTTCGACCACCCTCTAGGCTTCCTGGGCCCCAGCCGGAATATCATTGGTCTTTCTCCCGAATCCAACGAAGGATTGAAACATCTTTGAAACCACTCCCAAAAGCCGTTCCCGGGTTTGTGGGGTCCTTCGAATGGACGGAGGTTTCGGCTGGTCGAGGACACACGGTACTTCGACAGGACACGCGGTACTTCGAAAGAAGCAAGACAAGGCAAGAGCGTAAGCTACACCCAACATCTCAACATATGTCAAGAGCACTCCCAACAGCCCGAAGTACATCCCAACACCCTCGAGTTCTCAAGGGATCCAACCCGGTTTCGAAGGAAAGTGGTCACCAAAGAGGGAACGATCAAAAAGACCCTGCAGGTAGGACATGGTAGGACCAAAACTGCGTCGGGGAATGGCGTCCAATTCTACTGCAAGGCCATAAGCCAAAGCCGTCGGCTTTTCGTGTGCCAGGATGTCAGGACTGGATGCGACCTGGACACGACCTCGGTCTCCACTCTCGCCTTTCTTCTGGTCTCCCTTCCACCCACACACCTTCCACACTGGGAGCTCCCGTCGAAGGAGGAGTCCCGAAAGGCATCCGCGTGCTGTTGGAGTCGCTGGGTCACCACCTCGACTTGCCCGGTGTCGGGCGTGTAGTGGTTTTTGGTGCGTTCAAACGAGGTGGTGGCTGTTTTCTTTGCTCTGCCATTGCCTTTCAGGAGGTGGTGAGCTTTTGCTCCTCTGGTTCACCGTGGTGGAATCATGCGGTTCTTAGCCATGGCAAGTCAACGAAACCCTGGTGTCAAGAGATCCATTGGACCATGCTGCGATGGCGGCAACGAACCGGGGACACTGGTGGACTTGACTCGCTTGACTCGCTCTCACTCCCTTGACTCCTGAGGACATGCCAATTGGTTGGCTTGCCAGCCGGTGCTATGCATAGATGTGACCAGGGAGTTGCGACCGGAACCGAAAGGGATGGAGACACCTGAGGACCATCCAACTCATCCAATGGAGTTTTGCCTCGACTACCATAGACTGCTTAGAGATGTGGCAGGACACCATGGTCGGATGGTCCTATGTCCAGGTCGGACTTCGAATCCAACGGATCCACATCGAAGCCCCACCGAGCCTTTACTCCGAACGTGGACGTCGTGGAACCTCTTTCCACCTTCACCACGGCGGTGTTTCTAGAGACTGACCCTGAACATCGGCCTCTTCCTTGAGGTTGCTGGCGTCCATGGACAAGTTGACCTCGGCCAACGCGGCGCATCGCCTCTTCCCGCCTTCCAAGAGAGGTCGCCAGTGACCTGAACGTTCGGACCCGGAAAACCTGGGGTACCCTGGCCTGGGATACTCGAACGAACTCGGGTCCTGACCCACCTCTATTGGTTGGTTTTGGGACGAGCGGCGAAACAACACGACCCAACAGCCTTCCACCCCCTCTGGACCTGGTCTCTGGAGTCGTCTCATCCAACGGGCCCGAGGCTCTTCTCGTCTTTCGGTGTGACTTTTTTCGAGAAGAAGACGTCATGCGCCCAACAAAGCAGCACATCCCAACGGGATGTAGAGCATGGAACACACGCAATTGGTCCGTGAAAGGCCACATACTGTCACATACACATTGGTCACTCCATCCGTCAACGATCGAACGGAAACACCATGAAGGTCTCAAGTCGCAACAGGAGACCTGAGACCTGAGTGAAGAAACTGCCACATGGAACCCCAAGCGGCTTCGTCTGCCGATGTTAAATTTCGCCTCCCTCCAGACACCTGACACATCTAGAAATACTTCCCCAAGGTTAGATAGGTGATGGTTTGAAGGCCTCCCCCTTCTGAAACGAACTCCTCTTTTTCAGTCGGAGTTGTGCCGTTGCCGTTGCCACTCCTGGCGTGCCAAGCGCAATCGCAGAAAGACAGCTCTCACAGAAGAACATGGATGAATTGAATTCGTGTGTGCCTTGGTCAGCCTCAACTTCCAAGCGGAACGATCTCTACTCAGCACTTGGAGAACCAAGAACTTGGGGGGGTCTCCCAATTCTTGGACTTCAAAAAACGCTCCTTTTTGCGCGCTGGACTTCATGCGTTTGGGTTCTGCCCGGTGGCTGTGGTCGGTCCTCTGTGCTGAGGTCCTTCATCCGCGCTCGGTGCCTGCCAGGTTTCAGTGGAGGATGGCTATCTTGCAGGCCGACCACGAAACCACTTCCTCCTTTACCAACTCTCTACAGGAATGGGGCACACCTCAGATGCACCCTGAGAACCCAAGCATGTGATGCCAACATTGCAAGACATAACTGATTGGCACAAGCGGCATATGTAGAATCATCGAACACCGGCGTGAAATTGCTAAACAATGGCCAAATAAACACGAAAGGATCGCTGGATTTGTCCGGATAAAAAGACTCCCCAACCCTGGAGCCCTCGCATCCAAATAGCAGGTCTTAGGTATGAAACCTTCTCATGTGTTTGTATGTCTATCTGTCTCTCTCTCTCTCTATAAATAGATCTATTATGCATATTACATATAGTAATGACATTGTGTCAAGTCACAAAAGAATCAAACCATTGCATGACACGTGTTGCCGTGGTATTTCATGACAAAATCACCTCGTAGGGAAGTGTGGAGAACATCTCTCCAGCATCAATCGTAGGAGAGGTCTTCAGAATTCGTACACGAATCTACATCACTATCGGTGTCAAGAAGGAGGATATGCGTGCACTTGCCACACGTGTCCAGAATCTTTTGGGCTTTGAGTGCGCATATCACAAATCAACTCCAAAGGATTCCTTATCCACGTCGACCGTACGCCTCCCATCTTCCTCTTTTGCGAGAAAAACCTGGTGCTGAAATCTGCCACCGAAGGATGTCGTGTCATTCATCGCTTCCTGAAACAATCCTTCTCCGCCGACATCGACCCGTTGCCATGCAGATCGGCGGCAGGCCTTTTGGGTGCCATGCGATCACCTTCAATGAGGATCAACAAGGGGTCCCGGTAGCCGGGAGGCACATACTCCACCAAGAGCACGGCTTTGAAATACCTTGGACGAACCAAACAAGGCAAAACCGGAGAATGCTGGAGATGAACCACCAGCGGCACCTGCCCCTGGTGCTGTGCTCCCGTTTCGCCATGGCGCGGGTGCCCAAAAAGAAGGCGATCGTAGCGGTGGGGATCGTCACTTGGACGTTGGAGGGACTCAGGACGTGGCGGGAAGGGAAACTGGGTCATCACAGTCACATGTTGTCCGAAAAGGCTTCATTAGTCCGGTGGGCATCAGTTTTATCACTCGGCTGCGTGGGTGAGCAAGCAAAGGTACTAGATGTTCGATTTCACGCTCACCCCGAAAAGTTTGCTTCATATGCTGACCCTCAGTTTCTTTGCAAAACAAAGGTTTACCTTTTGCCACCTGTTGAATTTTAAGCGCCAACAGAGGTTGAAGAACCCTGTAGACTTAGCCCATAGTTAGCCCGGTAGGGCCCTAGTTCAGGTCTATAAGGTCTCTTGTTGAATTTTAAGTGGGGCAACATGGGGCAACAACAACGTCAGGTCCAGTCCTTCTCACCCTGCTTTCCTCGATTTCGCCACACCTCCTCACCGACCCCCGGCTGTCCCATGCCGAGGCACGTCATCATGGGCACGGAAAGGAGCATCCCCGTGGGGCCCCACAGGAAGCCGAAGAAGGTCACGGCCTCGGACTCCCATCCGCGGGTGTTCGGGTGTTCCGAAACCGAAACATACCACGGATCTGGAGCGATCCGGACGCGAACCGAACGGTTCGGGGCGCGCTCTCCCTGGGCCTTACTAGGAGCGATCCGGACGCTCAAACCTTGGGCTCGAACGGTCGAGTTCGGCTCAAACTCGAACTCAAACTCGTGCAGCAGAAAGAAGAACCATACATCGTCACCTCCTATCTCGGGTGGATTCAACCATGTTTGATCCACAGCCTGGGGATCGGCTCCAAAGCCAAGCGTCCAGCAGTGTGACTACGGGGTGCATCTTCATGGTGGAATCATTCTCCACCAACCTGGAAAGCACGAGTTGAAGACTCTCACTTCTCAGCTCTCTCGCTCTCTCGGGGCTTTCTGGGCTCTCAGGAAGTGAGTGGAAGCGGTGGGAGCCCTTGTTGCAGGGAGTCGCTGTTGTTTGGAAACAAGGTCTTCTTGTGCATGAAGAAGTTGAGATCACAAAACCAAGGGTCACGAATGGGTTCCGGCTCCCCCAAAACGGGTAATTGGTGGGCATATCCCCCTCAGAGGTTTCAGCGGATCATGATGGATCATGGATCGTCTTTGACCGACGGCTCTAGTGGTTTACGAGGCCACACCCTAACCCAAACACTCTATGTATGTCATATATGCCAATATATGCATGTATTATGCCTACACTGACCCCCTACCATCGTAGAGGGGCCACTGTTCGCCTATCGAATGCAAATGAAGGGGTAACCCCCCTTTCCACCTGGCTGTGACGTGGAGTGTCTGCAGTTTTTGGAACCGGTGTCGGCGCCAAACCCTCCTGTCTCCAGCCCTAAAAATTTGGACACTACCTTGAACTAGCACCGCACCCGCACTGCCCAATCCCTCCAAAACATGGTGTTTGGACCTGGTGATCCATGTACTTCCTGGGTATGCCATGGTGCGCGTCGAACACCAACGTGGCCACACGGCTTGGTGCTGACCCGCTCGTCACCCACCATGGTGCGCCCTCTCACGTGTCCCCTGAGCGGACGCATCACGCGCTCCTCAAAACACCCCCTCAAATCAGCGGAGCGTCTTCACTTCCACGATGTTGGTGAAGAAGAACTTGAGGCCCAGCTGCGCTGCCAGGGCACTCAAAAACCTCAGAGCATGGGACATAGCAGAGATTAGATGATTAACCCATGCATGATGGGACACGGATGGATGGAGGGTTTTTTTGTGGCAAAGGAGGGGGGGGTTTGCTGGGGCTGGGGTTACATATTTCATTGATCATACTTGAGATTTGATACTCTCGGACTCGACCAATACTTTCTGCTCGCCTTTCCGCTCACTGTTTTTCCCAAAAGCATCTCCGATGCTTGGGTTCTCGTTTAGTCGCTAGTGCCGGGGGAGAGCGAGGAAAAGCTTACGTTGTCGGGGACGGAAGATGGAGGTGGAGGTGGACGGGGTTGGGAAGGGAAGAGGGAAGGGAAGGAAGAGGGAGGGGAAGGAAGGGAGGGGAAGGAAGGGAGAGGCCTGCGACAGGCAATGTTGCGTTGAGCACATGGTCGCATCACAAGCATCATGGTAGGCCGCTCCGGGTCAGTGCACAAGTAGAACAAAGCATGGGTGGGGGTAGTGCTGGTCCATGCTTCGCGGACGTGTGTTGGGTGGTGAGTGGAGCTGTGCTGCGGGGCTGATACGATGGGGTTGGGTGTCCAAAATGTGCACAGTACATGCGCCAGACAGTCAAGGCATGGCCGACACGGGAGGAGCGTTACGCGCCACAAGCGCAACGTGGGAAATTGTACGGTTGGAACGAACCTTGGAGGGGGCCGATACTGCTCCAGGCTTCCTGGAACGGTTGTCAGAAGCCATGTTGCAATGTTATTGGAGACTAGCTGCAGATTGAAAACAACCAGTTGATAAATATTATATATATATATACATATACACCTAGAATCCGTTTGACCCCTTTTTTGACAGGAAAAGGCCATATTTGGGATAGTTGACCCTCCAAAACAGGGGTCACTCAGGTTCCAGGTGTATGATACATCCAAAAGCCAACCCGACGAAAGACGGAACTGCCACGCGCCCAACGCCACACGTGGCCCAAACTGGGGATCCGTCGGAGACCGTGCGGCGCAGAGTCGGACGGAGCCCTAGAAGTAGCCAGGGGCTGGGGAGGGAAGATGGAGGGGAGCGAGACGGGAGGCGACGGGGCTGGGGATGGAAGATGGAGGCGCATGGGTGGAGGGGAGATGGAGGGGAGCGAGACGGGGGGCGCATGAAGATGGAGGGGAGCGAGACGGGAGGCGCGTGGGGAGGGAAGAAGGAAGGGAGTGGGAGGCGCACATGGGTGTGGACGGGGCTGGGGAGGGAAGATGGAGGGGAGACGGCGTGGCTTGGGTGTGGACGGGGCTGGGGGGTGCATGGGTGTGGACGCTTGCGCGGCTGATATGCTAGTTACGAGGACATGGTTGCACCACAAGCATCATTGCAGGCTGCTCCGGGTCAGTGCACAATTAGAACGAAGCATGGGTGGGGGTAGTGCTGCTCCATGCTTCGCGGAAGCACGTTGGGAGGTGAGTGGAGCTGCGGGGCTTATACGATGGTCTTGGGTGTCCAAAAAGTGCGCAATGCACGCGACAGACGGTCAAGTCGTGGCTGAAACGACAGGATTGTTGCGTCGAGCACATGGTTGCACCACCAGCATCATTGCAGGCTGCTCCGGTAGTGCTGCTCCATGCTTCGCGGAAGCCCGTTGGGAGGTGAGTTGAGCTGTGTTGCACCAGAACCGCGATGCTTGAAATATCATAGTTGCCACGAAGCCTGGAGGGGGCTGATGCTTCGTTTTGGCCTGCTAATTTGTGTTTGTTTATTTTTCCTGGGTTGTGCGCTTCTTTTTGCTTTTGGGTCCGCGGGCTCACCTTGTTTTGACTTGTCCCCTATCCTGCACTCTGAGATTGCTTTTCGTTTGCTCCAACTCCTACTCCGAAATCACTAAAAAAATCATTTTGGCCACCCTCAGCGGTTGGCTGGACTCCATCTCTTAATATTAATATACCCAAAGTCCAGTTTGACCCAGCTTTGACAGATCATCTTTTGGGTGGTTAGTAATACAACATAGATTTCACTCAGGTTCTAGGTACTTTACAGTGTCCCTTCTATCCTTCACTCTCGGGCATCCGAGAGTGATGGCACCACCGGTGGGCACCCCCCCCCATCGGCGCCCCAAGCGACGTGACCAAGGCCGCCTCGTGGCGACTATCGAACCTCAGAGTTCGCGACGGTGGGATTTGAAGAGTGGACACACCAACCTGCCACTGAATGGGTTGTTTCTACGTTCGCTTCTTGTTACTACTATAGTAAGGCACTTGTTACTAGAAGCGATGCACTTGTTCCTAGTAGCTTATTGTTTCTACTGAATGGGTTGTAGCCCCTTCCTTAGAAGCGAACGGGTACATGAATGGGTTCACAAGCTTGATCCGCCCAATCCAGTGTCCAGGCCAGTTCTAGACAGACCTCCACGACGATCGTTCCGGTGAGAATCGGCGTGAGACAATTCGTTGGTTTGCAGTGGCGAACGAACAGGACCGAGCGGTTCTCTGCTTTGTCGACTGTGAACCGTGTTAAACACCCTTAGCAGTCGACGAGATCTTTCCACTTCTATGCTCCTACTTCAACTTGCGATGGCAAGAACTCATAAGGCCGTCACTTCGAGCGATGAAGTAACGGGCGGTGCTACCTTGAAAAGAAGGATCCCTGAAAAAGCCATCCTCCATACTACAAGCCTCCTAGCTAGCCTCTTAAGCCTGCGACCAGTGAACCGTGCCTTGGGGGCGTCTCTTCGGTACCGCGCTCGGTCTAGGCTGCCGCACAGGATCACCGGCACCGAGAGCAACATGGCCAGAAAGGCACCCACCTGAACAAAGCGATTTCAAAGAAACATCGCGAACGTAGGTTGGGGAACGGCCAAAGGATCACCGGCCGCTCTCTGTACCGGTTCGAAAGGCACCCACCTGAGGATTTCGAACCGAAACGACCGGAACGAGACGAATCCTGGAGGCCCATCGCTATATAGGAGTGCTAGCCCATCGCCGCGAATGGAACGAGAAGAACCTCGGTATGATCTGGAGCCCATCGCTGAAGAATCAGTTTTTGCGAGACGTGTCGGGCACCGTATTGAGAGACAGGTCGGGCGGAGCACGCTCCGTCAGACCGAATCAAACCGAGTCGTCACACCAGCGGTTCCCATGTGGGAAGACCTGGACCTTCGGTGTGTGGAGGTCCAAGTGGGCTGGAGCTTTCAGCCAGGTGACCCCTTACGCTTCAGGTCTATGTTTCTTTTTCTTTTGATCATCGATGTCATCGACCGGGGCACCGCCTCCAGCCCTCCGAACCCGCTCCTTTTCGCCACACCTTTCGCCGGTCCTCCGGGGACGAAGCGGAGTGGAGAGCCGAGTCTCGTGTGCCCGGCCTCCGGGATGAAGCTCAACACGAAGGAGGTGAGGCCTGGACCGTGGACCGAAACATCCGCCAGTCTCTCGAGCCGTTTCGATCGAATGATGGTCCCCACGCAGGAAAGTATGGGGCGCGGTGCCCAAGAAGACGATTCCGCGGTAGAAGGCTTTGCAGGTTCTTCACTGGGTAGGCAGCCCAGAGACTTTTCTGCCTTCAGATTTTCAACGAAAGAGCTCCTGGCTTGTCAAGTCATCTGAGTGCAGTATATTCTCAAACAAATCTCTTGATGGACAACACCGTAGACCAATGCAGACCAGCCCTCAGTATCACATATCTGTCTTTGGATCATTCGCTTGAATCTTGTCAGTGACGGAACTTGATCCCCTGGTTGGTTTGGTCACAAAAAGGCCAGTAAAGTTCGGTCACAGAATAGGGAGGAGTCCCTCCGTTCGGTCACTGGGAAGGCGCTGCTTTTGGCTCGGTCGCGTGAACCGCGACTCGCCGGCTGAGGTGCCAAAAACCACTGGTAGTTGGAGCTTCAAGAGATAGAAGACCAAGCCCACACAAACCTGGTCACCAAAGTCGAAAGCGGCTCGAATTCGCGCATTCCGCGCAGCTTCTTTGTGGCTTTTCTGGCTTCATCAGCATCTAGCTCCCCTTGGAAAGCGCAGTCATCGAAAGGGGCCATGCCATCCACTTCCATGATTCCGAGTGTATATCAACTGTCTACTTGCATGTGCAGCACACCCACACACCCACACAAACGCCTCGAGTCTCAAACATCTCCTTGTTCACACGCCAGCCTGTGTGGGTTTGTACGTACTTTTCCTGGCAAGATTGGTAGTCACACTAAACAAGAACACCTGAAAAAAACACTCAACACTCCATCTTCTCATTGTTGAATCCTAAAAAGCCGCCCCATGGGGCCGGCTGCCGAACAATGGAACTGATGTTGCTGTTGCCTTCCCCCATGAAATTTCGCCAAGCATCTCCATACCCGAGACCTGGGGTTGGAAGCAGCTTCGTTTCCCCACCCCATTGGATCGGATCGCCAGTCGAACTCACTCTGGAAGCTCCAACCTACTAGCGATGGCGGCCTCCACCATTTTCAGGGGTACATCGGTATCGGTGGCCTTTCAACAAGAAGCCCAATGGCACTTGAGGGACGTTGGACTGATGCTCGATGTGTTCGTTTGCTCACAAACATTGGTATTCCGAGAGCTTTTCACACTTCAGTATCAACCGGCCGTAGGATCTTAGAGTGCTGTACCTTCTCCTTGGAGGCGCCATTCGGAAGCTGCGACATCGCTTCAACGACCTGACAACGAAGCAATCACCAAGAACTTCCTGAAAACCCAGCTCCCAACCAGAAACAGCGCTGGCTGTTCCACTATGGCGTTCTGGCCCGATCCGGTTGGGAAAACGGGAAGCCTCCATTCGCTTCTATTTGGGACTGGATTTCCAGGTTTTTTCTATGGTCAGCTTGAGTGCCTGAAGGATTGAACTTGATGGCAGAAAGGTCATATTTCTCGGCCACGTAGCATCTGAAACTCTTGCAACACGTCGTCCCGAAAGTGCCAAAACCCACGACCGACACGGAAAAACCTCTCAATGGACCAGGTTGCACCACTGGGTGACACATCCCTGATCAGACTGAGCGCCCGTCACAGTCGCCAAGCATATGCTCAACCAGTTTGGGGTGGATGTTGATGGATGCCGGACGTGGGGGGTCGGCAAGTACTTGTATACAATTGCTTCCTCCAGAGTCAATCGGCCCCACCAGTCCGGCAAAAACCTGCCATGCTGAAAAATCCTTCTTCGTTTGGCACTCCACTCGTTGGACCAACACAGGGAAACAACATCCGAACTGTGACAGCCCACCCGCGCGCGTTGCGCGCGTTGCGCGTCCGGCACAACGGCAAAAAACCGACGCATGGCGGGGTTCGGTGTTTCTGTTGGGAGCCAAACGGCAGGCAGTACCCTTCAGGAAAAGGTACCGCCGGAAGATGGTCTCCTGAACGACTGGCGTCGATTTTAGCGAGGTGGTCGGTGGGATTCGTGGTGCGGGGACTCAGAAGTTCGGAGTTTGGTTAGCGTCTTGCTACTATAGTAATGGCCTCCACCCTAGTAGCGATGGCCTCCAACCTATAGTTTTGTGGTATGGCCCTTGCAATGAGTCAGTGTGGTATGTCTTTCATCTGGTTCTTCCAATAGCCGGTCTTTGGTCATAGCAAGCGTTTCTACCTACCAAGTTGCCGGGCTGATATTTTTTGACAGCGGGTCTCGAAACAACCAATTCAACCCATCTTTCTCTACCACCAACCCAAGGGTTCTCATCTTTTTCATCCAACCAGCAGGCAATCGAACCAGGGATCGACCCAGCCCAAGAAGCCAGGTAACATGTTTGACCCACATCCAGGTTCCGCCTCTTGCACCCCAGTTCCGACGTCCGAGCAGCGGTGGTGCTGGCAATGGGCATTGGTGTGCACAGCCAGAAGAGCACCTTGCTAAGCTGGAAACTTTTTCACGTCGCCGAACTCGGCAAAACCAAGGAAGAACGTGTGTCGTGTGTGCCATCACATTTATCAACACCAATGACATATTGAACGTGGGCATTTCCAGTACTCGAAGCACAACATTCAACAACTTTTCAGTGTCACAAGACGTTGCCGACTCCCCCGTTGATCAAGAACGCTTCCCAAACAACCCGATGTATGTCGTATATGCCGCCCCATTGACCCCTAACACACCACCCTGGCCTTTTCTCGGCAGTCCTATGGCAGCTCCCCAAACGGGTCGTGTCTGGGTTTTGGTGGACTCTGAGAACGTTCATCGCTCGGTGGTTTTGGTTCGCCGTGGCGCCCTGCTCGAAGGAATCGGCAGGGAAACCAAACCGTCGTGGCGTTCTGGCTCGATCCTCGTCTTACGAGGTCAAAACCTCCATTGACTGGAGTTGGTGGTGCAAAGCACTATTCTTACTGAGGTGTTTAGGAGGAGACTGGTTCGGACCTACAGGGATTGGTTTCGGGACGAAGCGCCGCACAGGTCCGCCACCAGCGCCCAAAGGTGCCGCCAGGGTGTTGATGCCAAGTCGACTCTGAAAAGAACTGAAGAACAGGATGAGTTTTAAAGGGCTTCTTGTTCCTAGTAGCAAGAATGCTCCTAGCAGCAATGCCAGGAGCCCCTAGTAGCTTCTTGTTCCTATAAGGGGCGTTCCAGATTTCGAGGTCTCTTCCACCGCTCTCTTCGGGGATTGCCCACTTCTCCGCCACAAAACAGAAGCAGAAGACACGCAGAGCGTGTGTGTCTTCATGCAGAAACCTCTCGGAAAAAACTCCACCCCGCTGCCAACAAAGGGAACCCCAACAAGAGCTCTGGGCTTGCCACATACAAACCCAGCATGAGCAACTCAAAGATCACCTGGGCTGTCCGGTCGACCGGGCGTGTAGAATGGGTCGACGGTCGGCTGCGGAACTGGGACTTGGCCCGGAGATGCCACGCTACTAGGGTTCCTAGTGCCTCATAGGAGCGTCCTGTTCACCTACCAGCCCAACAAACACCACAGTGACCCCAAAACCGTCGTTCTCCGCTAAGCTGGGGAAGGGAGGTGGCCAAAAAGGCAGAAGGGAGCCGACCCCTTACTGAGACCTGGTGTGACTTACTGAGACACGCGAAAAAGACCCCTTGGAAACAAGAAAACCCAACCGCACGCACCTCACTGCCAACCACGTGGCGTTGCTCAAATATTCCAGCAAACCGCCCAAAGCAGTGGAAAGCATCAGCTTCGCCTCGTCCAGAAGCTTCTCCGAAACCATGGTCAAGAAGGCTTCCTCGTCTTGCTTCCATTCCACTGACCCCGGGAAGGACGCTTTTGGTGCACCGACCCTTTTCGACCAACCACCGGGATCCACACCAAAACATGCCCGGAACATCGCTCCAGATGCAACTGGCACACCGCACTGGTCCCAGTTGAGGGCGTTCTTCGTTTTCGATCTCCGGCGCCGTCGTCTTGGGGAGGATCATTCGAACGATGAGACCCATTCGAACGTCCAGATCCGGACAGATCGAGCTTGGTTTTGGGGTCCCGACTCCGCACCCTCTAGTTCTCAGGGGGGACCTTCCAGTTCGGGTCCAGACCCGAACCAGTTCCCTGGATTCTGAGGGCCTATCACACTGGGGAAAGAAAACACATGGGGCAGTTGGGTGGGCCGGCCACACAGAACAACATCACTCCAAAAAGACGGGATCTTGCCTGTCTTTCTTCATCCCCAGCTTTGTAGGCGCCTGCGCCCCTCAACAGCATGAAATTCCACGCCCCGCCTTTTAAAACTGTCATTTTTGAACCTCTCTCTCTCTCTCTCGCGCTCGCTCTCTCGGTTTTTTTCCGCACTCGTTCACCGTGCTCTCTTTCAGCCTGACCTTCACCCCTTCAAATAGTGGGAACACGTGGTCAACGAAGGCCAAGAAGACGCCCGGTGTCCAGTGTGCCCCAACGGGTCAATCTGAAAAAAACGTGAAAACCTTCTGGAACTGGTTCCTCGCAGGTGTATGGGTACAAGTCTATTAGTCTATAATGATCAAATTGAACTGGGTCATGCACCGGATGTGTTTGATTCTAACATATAGACTGGACCATTCTCTCACACGCATTCCTTTTGCCACCAAGTACTCTTTTCATGCTCGACCGTGCGGACGTCCCTTGCCATCCCACAAATTTCAGGATCTCCCGAATGGAGAGTCTTGGACTTCGGTCCTTACGTCCAGTGCAAAGCACCTCTTTTCAGAAGCCGCCGCTTCGCGGTGTTCGCAGTGCGCCGGAGCCATCGCAGAACGTCGCAGGGCGATGCAGGTCATTGCTGCATGTTCACAGAATCCGGCGGGTTCCCAGCATATCAGCATGGGTGTTTTCGTTCGGATATTTATGAGCGTTCGTTTCGGGCTGAGATGTTGGCCTCAAGATCCACCAGGAAAAAAGCAACCACCAAGAGTTCGGTGCCTTCGATGAACGAGTTTCGGATGGTTCCCTTCTTTACACTGGTTTCGACCGCCGAATGTCGCAGCTACAGTCGAAGGCCAAATTATGAGCTTGGGCTGCAGTGCCCCCAGGATTTGCAGCGCAGGATTTGAACAACCTTTGCATGGTGTATCTTGTGTATCTTACAGGATCAGCTCAAGTTAGCCCTGTATGTCCGGTACGCTACCTTTTCTACAGTCATTCAGTAGGGTATTACGGACCCGGTGCTCCCGGGTGACAGGAATTTCAACACATGGTTGAGCACCCCAAAATGGATTTTCACCTGCAAGGCCTTCCACAGAAACGCATCATCTGGAAGAGATGCTCCACTGTCCCATGTGGGCTAGCAATGTCAATTTCCCTCCTCAACAAGTCAAAGGGCCCTGCTGGTTGGACCATACCTTCTTAGCATACAACTTGCCATCTCATAAATCGATCCAGGGGGCCCCACTGGGGGCCCCTTCACGGGGTTCTGCAGCCAAAGGTTGGCAAGCAACGTATGTTGGGCTCTCCAGCCACACATTTCCAGTTCGTTCAATCGGAACTGCTACACCTCACGGGCCTCCCAGCTCGAAGCACCGAAGCACTTCCAACCCAAACAATCAGAAACGAAATGCGTAGAGTTATGATGTGCCTTACAGCCTACTAGTATCTCTGAAATCTCGAGGATTCATGAAAAAGAACACAATAAATGCAACCCCACACTCAGAAATGATGACCAGGAAATGCCAAAAAACAAGGCATGAAAAAGGCAGCTGGTCAAAAAGAGTGCATATAAAGAAGCACAAACTTTGCAAAAGGAAGCCCCAAAAAAGCAAACAAAACGCAAAACGTTTAAACATCCCAAAGCAAAACAACCAAATTTCACACACCACCTTTTTTGTGTTTTTTTTTTTTAGTTTGTGTTTTATGTGCGTTTTTTTAAAACTGTTTTTCTTTGTTGTTTGCGAATATTTTCGATATTTTTTGCGTTTTCCCAAGGAAACACACAACCATGCAAAACACACGTAAAACAATCGCAAATAAACAACACAAACATGCAAAGGCAAAGACCAGAACGTTTTTGATCATATTTGTTTTGCTTTTTTTTGTTGCATTTTTTGTGACCTTTTTTTTTGCATCGTTTTAGTGGACAAACGCGTTATTTTTTCCGCATTTTGATTGATTTTTTTGCATTCCAGCGCTTCCCTTCGTGACGTGTTTTTGTGTTTTCTGTACATTTTTTGCAGCATTGGTTTTGCATTTTTCTTGCCTTGTTTATGCCTTTTTTTTTTTGGGTTGTGTCATCAGAACTAGCTTTAATGTACATCATAAGTGTAGAGTTCCTTCACGGAAGTGCCTGGGGCTGGGAACACATCCAAACTTCTTTCTGGTTGGGATGGATCGCTTCCAACACAACTTGTCTCTCATTGTGGAGCCGAACCCAGTCTCGATCCGCCCGAATCGTAGCCGGTCTCCTCCGCAAGCCCGAGCGAGTTGAGGAGTGGTGCCCCTTCCGCCGGCTGACACTTGGCAGGTTGGATCTTGAAGGGCTTCCCGCTGCCGCGCGTTTGCATCACAAAGCCCCAGAAGGCTTCAACGAGAAGTTGCATCGTGTCGCTGTTTCTGACACCTCAGTCAGGTGGCAGCAAACATCCCACACATTGAACCAATGAGTCTGACAGAGTTGGCCTGAAATCAATTGCCATGCCCATGTAAACTGTAGGATATGTGAGATCACGAAAGGAGTCAAACAATCTGGCAAGATCCAATGCATGGCAAAGAAATCTAAATCAGCACCAAACTGCCCAGCGAGCTGAGTCCTGAATTTCCATTTAAAGAAACAACATGAGAAGCAAGCGCACATCATTCAGTTCAAGCGCACCACCGTTCCATGGTCTGGTTTCGTCCTGTTATCGTCCATACCCAAGATGACGGAAACGAACTCTACCCAGTCGGAATCGGGTCAACTCCACTATTCGTCGGCAGCGTCGTCCCTTTGTGACATTCCATGTTTCCACGGTGGTCGTAGCGATGGCCCTTTTTCTAACCCTAAGAATCCGGGCCCCTTCAGCAACACATAGGGTTTGGTTCAGGTCCGGACCCCTGCGAAGGTGTCGGGTCCGACCCCTGCCATGGAGAGCCCAAGGATTCTCTACAGGGGAAGTAAAAAGGGCTTTGGGCTGCTCGTCATTTACAGAACCACACAGCATGCGTTGCACAAGGTCACACACGGGAGTCATTCTCCACTACTGACTCTCCCAGCTTTTCTGGTCTGGAAGATCAAGATTAACATATAGGACTACAAAACTAAACATTAAACAGTTCACCAACAGTTCACTGGTGAGCACGTCAGATTTTACACGTCATGTATAGATATCTTCCGACTATGGAACATGATATAAACTCCCGAACTGTTTCCCACACGAAGCAACCGCCCACGCAGCAACCACCACATGACCACATGACCGGCATGGCACCAGGGCACCAGGGCACCGTTCACCAGAGCACGCGCTCTATTTACAGATTCTATGAAACATGTGCAGGGGGATCTACATCTCGCGAGGGGTTAAGCTTGCCTGCCCGTTAAACAGTGATTTGTGAGATGCGCGTCCCCCCCCAAAATGAGCCAATACAGTTTCAAGTCACTGACAAAGGCGTAGCCCTTGCACTTGCCACCATTGGGGTGGTGTGGCATATCCAGCTGGAACACGGGCGTCACCTTCGGGTTTTGGTCTGTGCCAGTGAAGGGAAGGTGCGAAAAAAAGAACCTGAGACTGGCCCTAGACTTCCTGGCCCACCATGAAATTCATAGGCGAATTCATCCCGCACCAGCTCAGGATTTTACAGCTACAAACACCCCGAGTCCGTGACCACGTTCTTTTTGAGGGTCGACCGGAAGTCGAACGGGCTGGTGTTTCTTCTTTTTCGTTCCACGCGCCACCAGCTCTCTCCCTGGTGCTGGACTTACACCATCTCCTGACCACTCAGCCCATCAGCGCCGCGTCCGCGGTCCGCGTGTCCGTCCGGACCGACACATCGAGGCGTGTCCGTCGCTGTGAAGCTGCTAAACGCGGCGATCGAGACACGCGGTGAACGGGAGGTTTCAGCAGCTGTCTCTGGGATTTGAGTGGGGGGGGAGCCCATCGGGTTTTGCAGGAAAAAACGACCCCAAACTACTGGGAGACCCGTCCCAAGACCAGACGTTTCGTGGAACACCCACTCATGTCCGGCTCGGGCCTTGTGAATGAGCTCGAAGAGCTCGCGCTCTTCGCAACGCCCAGGGAGGTTGCGGATCATCAGCCGGGTGACCTTCTGCCATCCTTGGCTCCTGCCGGGCAAGTTCTCTGCACGAATTCGCAGAAGAGGCGGCAGATCGATAAAGCGATGACGAGTGGTGCACAACAAGTTCCGTCCCGTTCGACGGCGATGTGGGGCGAGATCCAAAGAAGTGTCTCTTTTGGGTCACCTGAAGAAAACACATCTTTTGGGGTGACATGCAGCAAAATCCTGGCCGTGAGCATCTTGAGAGGGCTGTTGTAATCATCGAAGTATCAACTTCTTGTTCAGCAAGTTTGGCTTCGAGACCAAAACGCCAAACCCTCAAAGGGGTGCAATAATCACACCCAAGCATTCCACAAGGACATCTGTTTCGGTATTTTCTTGGAACCAACCACCCAATGCAGTCCCCGTGCTTGCTGTGAGCACTATGGAGGTGGGGCACGCGTCGACATTCGGAGTCGGCCCCCTTTGCAGAAGCCTGAAGTTCCGGGCATGGGCATGCCACTCAGTTCCATGGATGGTCTTGGGTTCCTTCAACTTCTGAACGCAAAAATCGACGTGGATGGTCAGAGATGGTGTGGCTCCCTGGCCGAGCACTCCGACTCGGCCCAGCACCTTGGTCTCAACACGGCGTCCGCGATCGGGGCCATTCACGTCGTGAACCATGACGACCCCATGGACTGCGGATTGCCGAGAGTTCCGGCCAGGGGTGGTGCCAGGGGGGGTCAATGGGGCGGCAGTCCTATGGCAGTCCCAGACAGGTCGCGTCTGGGTGATTCTACCCCTTTGTTGTGGGTCTGTTGAATGCGGTCTTGGACACCCTTCCTTGGATTCACCACCCATGACCCTGGCCCACTGCACTCTCCTGGGGTGAAGCCCAAGCTCGTCGATCCAAAGGTCGCCCTTAGCCCACGTGCGGGCTCTGCCCTCCACAAACATCCAACGGGGTCTTGTTACAAAGGCTACAAATCACCCTTCGGAGTTGGAGTGGAAACCAGAAAAAAACAACACATGGTGCGCCAGGTTTGAACTCGCCTTGCCCCCCCCACATTCCATATGATACTCACCGCCGGGTGGCGCTGATGATGCCGCTTCACTCTCTCAAGGGGTCTTGAAAACCTCTTCAACCGCACACTGATAGATATAAAGATAATAGATCGATACAAAAAAGAAGCTGGTGACCTTAAATGACCCGATTTTTGACATTTCCTCTACTTCGGTGACTTTGTTGGTTCAATTCTTGCGTTCTTGCTTGTGGACTTCTAGGGGGTATGAATCATCTATATACCTGCGTTAAAAAAACACAAACGTACCACACCCTGGTTGCGGTTGCTTCCCAAAAAACACGACACACATCAACTGCCACATCAACCTTCGAGGCTCGCGCTCCTTCACCGGCCAGAACTTGCAGCTTGGCACCCACGAGGCAGGAGGCACCATGCCGGGCCTTCCCGCCGCCATCCCCGGCGCCATGGGCGGCGCACGGCGCGCGCGCGTGCGCTGGGAGCCGAAAAGGGGGCCGGTGCGGCCCGGAGCGACGCTGTTCAAAGACTGAAGCCACCCCAGATCCACGCAAAGTGTGGGAGGAGGATCGTTTTGGAACGCACCATGAGGATTTTGGAGCACATCGAGTTCAGTCCGTTTGGGATCATTTTCGAACACATGATGAGGAGCACATTGAAACACAAAAAAGCATCCGCAAGGCCTCTCTTTTTGGATCCACTCAGCTATGGTAGAAGCTGGGGTAAGGGTGTCGCTCTGAAAAGTTTCATTTCGTGGCAGGCAGGACATCGGACAGGTTTTGTGGTGCGAGAGGGGGGAGCGCACCGACTGTGACCGAAAAGAAGAACCAAGAGGGACACCACTGGGGTACCGAACTGGTATAGTCTAGTTCGGGTCATTCAACCTTTGTTGGAAAGCATCCTGCCTTTTCATTGTAATTGCCGTTTTCGAATTTCTATACTCGAGGGGGTCACACAATCACAAGCACAGCTTTAAGTTGACAAGGCTCCTTCCTTCTCTAAATCTTACGTATGCTACCTTGGAATGGCTCCTTCCTCCTCGAACTTATTTTCCTGGACGTCGGGCAAGGTATGCTACCTTGGAAAGGGCTCCTTCCTTGTTGCCTCGGATTCCGTCCTGGAGGGGCGCGGAATTAAAAGAAGCCACGGCCAAGACCAAAGGAACCATAGAAGCCGCACATCAGAAGCACCGAAAGAAGCCTGACAAAGCCGCCGCTCAGACTACCACGAAGAAACCAACATGGAAAAATCACCAAGACCTCAAAAGATCACATGGAAACTACACATCACGGAAGAAGAGAAAGACCAATAAGGGGGAAACGAAAGCCAAAGACCAGGAGGGACGCATCGTCAACTCTAACAAGGGATCACTTGGCCAAAGGCCTGGAAGGAGGGAGGCATTCTGCAGTCGAAGTCGCGCGCTGTCCACCGGGACGCGAGTTCTTTCCAGCCTTCAGGAGTTCAAAACAGGTGCCACGGGCTGGTAAATGTGAGTTCCGGGCTGGTTCCTTTGCAGTTCCCACTTGGTAGATGTGAGTTTCGCTGGGTAAACTCTAGATCCCACTTATATAGGTAAATGTGAGTTCCCGGCTGGTAAACATGTCAGTTCCTATTTGGTAAATGCTAGTTCCGGCAGTTCCCACAGTTCACACTTGGTAAATGTTCCGGGCAGGCAAATCTACTTGTTAATGTCAGTTTCCACAGTAAGTGTTAGTTCCTGACTGGTAAAACAAGTCTCATTTGCCTTGGTTTGACAGCGGCATTTACATGAAGTGTTCTTACCCCAGCATCCCTAGATGGGAGGAAGAACTAATGGATCGAGCAAAACCCAAAAACACGAGCTGATAAGACACTCTTCAAGACCAAAGCAGTGAAGACCGTGAGAATCGAGCGTGGCTATGAAAACCGTGAAAATGCAAGCCGTGGCCATGAAACCAAGGCTCTGTCCTTGATGTTTGGAAAATTGGGTTGGGACGGCTACGTCCTTCTAATGGGTGGTCAGAGGAACCACTCGGAAGTGGAGAATCCATCGTTTACAAAGCACCCCGTTGAGTAAACGAAGCATTCTCTGCTTCAAAGACCCCATCCCACATACACGGAAAACCACTTGGCCAGGCCCACTTGCAAACATCGCGAACACCGAATCGTTTTTCAGCATCTCCGAACTAGAAGCCCAAAACCGCACCCAGCTGTGTGTGATACATGGCCTCTGCTGAAGTGGCCGCAGATCTTGGCCTTCCCTTTGGTCTACCAGGAGTTGTTGCAGCTCCGGAGAGGCACAAGTCAGCAAGTTCCTTTCCTTTGGTGTGCCCAGATTCCTAGGGCTATTCGTCTAGGGCCACAAATGACCTTGATGATGCAAGTGATGCGACACCAACATTGACCTGCATCTTTTGCATCACCAACTCATCAACAGTTGTCTCTGCAAACAAGTCAAAAACATCAGCAGGCTGACGTGATGCTGAACTTCAAAGCCCGAAACAAGCCGGTCTTCCAGGAGTGGGTGACCGGACGCGCTCCATTATTTTTGGCTGGCAAAATCATGTAGACGATTCCAGAGATGGATTGCAACATCTCTTCAGGCTTGGCATTTGGACAGTGGACAACTCACCCAACGAAAGGTCGTCGCGCGCAAAAGGGCGGTCAGGGCAGGTGACAAAAGGCGACATCTGGTCGAGACGGCCCTGGCAGGGCTTCCCAACCTTCTATTTTGGAGACCTGTACTAGCACTGAACCCAACAGGTCTCCGATGGTGGAGGGTTGGGAAGGGCCCTGTCACAGGTCTCAATTGGTGACCTGTGAAGTCGGTGCTGGTAGAGTCAGGTGCTGGTGCTATGACCGATGAAGACCCCTTGCAACTCTCAATGTCTCACGCCCTCGTCCGTGCGGCTTCACCTCGCCGGGTGGCCGGGAAGGTCAAGGACAAACTCTTCACAAAGGCCTCGATGCCACGGACCGGAGAATGGCCATGAAAAACCCCGTGACTTTGCCACAAATGCAGAGCCTAAAAGCCGGGGGGGCGCCTTGACTGATAGATCTTGAGTTGGTTGGGCCCACAAGTGTGGGTCAAACCAGTCATGAAACTATTTTCTTGCCACAAGACCTGTGACCCCCACGAAGCCCCAAGACATGCCGCGCCCGCGGAGCGCGCGGGCGGGAACGAACGGCCCAGCCTTCACACGCTGCACGATGGTGTGCGCTCCAAGCTCGTAGAGGGGCAGGTCCTTCTGCACACGCACCACCCCGTCCTGAGCTCGTAGGGAGAGGTGAAGTGACCCGACTGAACGGGCCCTGGAACACGGTGGGGTTGTCGAACTGTCATTGGGGTTCTGAAAAAATACACGGTTGGCAGTGAGAAGAGGCCGATCCGTACTCTTTTCCGGTCGGTTCCCAAATTGAACCAGGAATCACACGCACGGAAACATGCACATCCTTACCATCCTTACCATCAAACAGCTGGCTTCCCCTAAGCTATCCTATCCTTCCTGCACCTTTCCTCTCGAATGAACGACCTTCTCGGCGTAGTGGCGATGACCACGCAGGCCATACCGAAGAGAGCCAGGAAGACCACGAGGAGGGCACCGAGCACTGAGATGAGCCGCGACAAGCAGGCGCAACAGCTCTCCTCTTCCGACGGTCGGAGATCGGGCCGCGGCGCGAGCGTCCGACCGGGGCCGCGGCGCGATCTCCGCCGTTTCCGCGGAACGTTTTCCCCCGAAAAGGACGTCTTTGGGCTGCCAGACATGGACCGGAAACTCATAGCTTCGGAAGCTTCACGGGGAGAGGAGATGTCGAGCTTCTGGGGGAAGGGAGCTCGGAGTTGGGAACGAGCTCCATCGCCGGATTTTGTTGCAACGACGAATTTGCATGGAAGGATGGTGCAGGTGATTTCCGTCCGCTTTCCATCTGGAAGGTGTCAGACTCCGGGACGCAGACCGCCCAATTCTTGGGCTGTTGGAAAATGATGAACTTCGTTTGGAGTCCTGGTGAGGCAGGCGCCAAACCCCACCGATTCGACCAAACTCGTGAGAGACCTGTGTTATCAGGGAGACTTCTCATGTTCGAGTACGTAGTTGAAACGGTTGAGCCGACTTTGTAGTGTAAGAATGGTTCCTTGGTAAAGGACGGTTTTAGAGGTTCGATGGCACAATGCCCCAAGTTTGGCTTTTCTCAAGGTCCCCATTTCAATTAATCCTTTGGGTTTGTGCCGTTCATTCTGAAACCACCGCAAATCAACGGTGCCACGAATCCGGGCCCAAATTGCTGAGATCGTGTTAGATGGAAACCAACAGAGGTTGAAGAACCCTATAGACTTAGCCCATAGTTAGCCCAGTGGGGCCCTAGTTCAGGTCTATAAGGTCACTTAACCTCTGTTGGGAGGAGAGGCCTTCCGGGCCGAACAGATCTGAGGGAGATCCCGGAGATCCTCTCTCTCCCATCACACGGCTTGATTGAACACACACCCGCTCTACCACGCATAGATTGTGGCCATTTTCCAAAAGCATCTCCGATGCTTGGGTTCTCGTTTAGTCGCCAGCGCCGCGGAAGACCGAGACAAAGCAAGCGTTGTCGTGGACGGAAGATGGATGTGGATGGGGCTGTGGATGGAACAGGGAGGGGCGCAATACGGGAGGTGCGCGGTCGTGGACGGAGCTGTGGAGTGGACGGGGCTGTGGATGGAAGGAAAGGGATGCGAGACGGGAGGCGCGTGAGGGGAGCGAGACGGGAGGTGCATGGGTGTGGATGGAGCTGTGGGGGGAAGAAGGAGGGGAGCGCGGCGCGAGACGGGATGGATGGGGGTGGGGAGGAAGGGAGGGGCGCGAGACGGGAGGTGAAGAGGAGGACAAGGCCTGGACACAGAGCCCAGCCACAGAGTTCAGGGCGCGGTCAGTGAGTGTGGCTAGCTCTTTTTTCTAAGATAGAATTTCAACAGTAAACTGTTTGGGGAAAAACAAACGAGAAATCCTCTTCTCCTGGGATATCTCCGCCATATCGACGCCCTGATCATGCCAACGATGCACGCCACCGGAAATCTATGCCAACAAATTAAGCACTAGACGACGAATGAGCTGAAAGCATTTTACCGCGTGTGATGCACTGTAGCGCTGGCACAGCAGTACACATGTGTGTGCTTTTCCCAAAAGAATCTCCGATGCTTGGGTTCGTTTAGTTTAGTCGTAAGTGGGGGGGGCAGAGCGACACGAGGCAAGCATTTTCGTGGACGGGGCTGTGGAAGGAAGATGGATGCTAAGTAGAACGAAGCCTGGGGGCTAATGCTACTCCATGCCTCGCGGAAGAACGTTATTGCGCGAGTGGAACTGTCTGGCGCGGCCTAGTGCGCGGCCTATATGACGGTCTTGGGTGTCCAGAGTGTGTGCAATGTATGCCGAAGACAGCCCAAGTCATTGCAGAAACGGCAGGATGGTTGCCGCAATGCTTCAAATTATCATGGTTGGAACGAAGCATGGAGGGAGCTGATGCTGCTCCACGCTTCCTGGAAGGGTTGTTAGAAGCCATGTTGCAATCGTTTTATGACCGTTTTGGAGGGCTTTCAAAACTGACCAAGGGGTGGACGGGGGTGTATATGGCAGACGGGGGTGGACGGATGCGCACCAGAACCGCGATGCTTGAAATATCATGGTTGCCACGAAGCTTGGAGGGGGCTGATGCTTCGTTTTGGTCTGCTAATGTTGTTTATTTTTCCTGGGTTGCGCGCTTCTTTTTGCTTTTGGGTCCGCGGGCTCACCTTGTATTCTTTTTTCTCGGGACCGAACGCCACGACCAGCTGGAACACCAACACAACACGTCGCCATCTCCTTGCAGCTCACGTCGCCATCCTCTGGCCTGGGACGGACCACCATGGTCTCCCGCCTTTCACCGCAGGCCCGATTCCCAAACATCGTCACAGCACGAGGGGAACCGACCGGACCCTCCATGGCAAGGGGTCGAACCCTCTAGTTCACAAGGGCAGCCGGCCCTCAAAACCCTTGTACCCTCAAAACCTTGTTTTGTTTCGGGTCCGGATCCTTAGGGCAGCCATGCCAAGGGAACCGACTGACTCGATCGGGGGTCCACTGACTCGACGGAGTCGACACCCCGAGTAAGAAGATGACAGGTGAACCGAAGAGATGCGACCGAAGAGAGGCGAATTTCGTGTGGTGCCACCACTCCAAAGGACGCTACGAACGGGGTTCCTGGCCATACTACTAGTAACAAGAAGCTACTAGTAACAAGGGCATCGCTACTAGTAACAAGAAGCTACTAGGGGCTCCTGGCCTCGCTACTAGCTTTATCCACCTTTCCGGGTATGTCAGACGAGATGCACCCATTCGATCTCCTGTTGTTACCGGGTCCCGCGCCACCCCACTGACAGGGGCCCGGTTGAGCTGGCCTCGTCTCGCGTCTCCTCGACTCATCTCTTTCGGAGTCGAAGGGAACAGCCATATATAGCAAAACATCGGCAAACCAACAAAGGTTGAATGACCCGAACTAGACTATCCCAGTTGGGTAGTCCTAGTTCAGGTCACTGGATACCTCTCTTGTAACACTGGGAGTTGGCTACCCTTGTTCCGGGTTCTCTTCACTCCACGCACCTCGCTGCAAAAAACCGACTCGGTGCGGTATCACCGAGGCACGCGATGTGCCACAACGGGCTCAAGGCGGCCACGTCCACCATGCCACGGCGTTCGCCTACCGGGTCACCCGGAGGCTTCGAACCCCCCACCGGGTCGGCGAGGCGATCGACGCGGCCGGGAAGGATGCGCCGTTGGGCGTTCCCTAGGGCTCCAGTCGTACCTTTTGAGAAGGTGTTTAGGGTGGGTTTAGAGGGTCCAGGAGGTACTTGGAGCCCTAGGCCCTAGGGGTTAGAAAGAACATGTCCCTTGGGCCGTCGAACAGGACGGCGAACGGAAGAACACCTCCAGCCGTGGTCGAAGCCGCTCAGACCAGAACCAGTTACAAACGCGTCCACGGCGCTTTTAGAAGACTGCCACACCCACTCAACGATTTGTCTTCGCCCCGCGTCGGCCACTCCAGCGTGGGCGAACATCATGTGACCTCATGGTTTTCAGAGGGTTTCAGAGGTTGTGACAGAACTTTATATGGTTCACACCGTACCTTTTCAATCCTTTTCATTCTAGCCTTAGACATACACATATGCAGCATTATGATGCACTATATGCCGTACATTGTTTCAAGGTGTTAGTGGCTGGTATTCGCAAGGTCCTCATCAATGTGTCCATGTCTCTTCTGCTCGGCTAGGAGTCGAAGGTGGGAATTGTGGGAGACTGTTGTAGATTCGCTCTTCAAGAGGATGATTACCCTCCCTGAAACAATCATGGAAGTGGACAATGGCCTCCTGGAAATACAATTTTCCTTTACAAACAGGGGATGGTTCATTTCTATGATTGGTACTTGTTCTTGATGGAAGCTATTTTCGTTGGTCCCATTCTCTTCAAGACCCCCAAAAAGACCACCAAGCTTCCCAGCAAGTCTAGGATTTGCTGTCCAGGAATCTGGCAAACTGGAAGATCTTCTCCAGCTTTGGGGATGCAAAGAGAAGAAGCGTTGGAAAAAACCACACACATCCACCTGATCAGCCAGCCAGGAAGGGAAGTGGTGATGTGGTGTCGGTGTCGGTGTCTCTTGAACGACCCCCATATCTCTCTGTCCTCAGCCCTGCTAGTAACAAGGAAGCTACTAGGAACAAGTGCATCGCTTCTAGTAACAAGTGCCTCACTAGTAGTAACAAGAAGCTATTAGAAACAAGAATACTCACTTTCACCTCTTTCCGGATCTTCACCTCTCCCGGACTGCTCATGACACACGCGTCACGCCTGAACACGGACTGGCACAAAGGCACCTGCCATCACTCACGGTGCCGGCACCACAGCATTTGACAGAAAGCAAGGAGGCCATCGCTAGTAGGTTCCAGGCCGTTGTGTGGGGGGTTTTGGCATTTGATCCACTCAAGAGTTGCCAACTCAAGAGGTTTTACAATCCCATGTTACCTTTTTTTGGCGGAACCTCTGGACTCTGGCGATCGCTCTCTTTTTCCTTCGACCTCGTCCCGCAGCTCTGACTTTGTCGCCCAGAAGTTGCACCGAAAGCGACGCGATGGAAGAGCACAACGGAGAGGAGGCACCGTGAAAATCGGAGTGAACCAATAGGTGAAAAGCGAACTGAAGCCAGCTGGACCTGTTGGATTTGAGTGGGACGTCCCATGTCCCGGTGCAAGTGACCCCCATAGTTCCGTAGGAAGCCTGAGAGGGAATGGGATTGGGTTTCTATATGATGTCCTAGACCTGTCGAGCTTGAGAAAGAGGCGGTGAACTCGATGGTGACAAGGACGATGAACGCAACAAACAAGGACGAGGAAAATGTGGAGAAGGATGAACATGGAGAAGGAACAAAAGAGCTATGCTGTCACTGTGCATCTAATGTACCATACCCAGCTGAGAATAATATGATGTATAACTGTATAACGTGCAACTGGTATAAACATCTATGACAACACGCAGCATCCAATGTTCATGTCTGTGGTATGGACCACCCTCTTCTTTGATTTTTGGAGTTTGTTGATCACTTCTGCCAGCTGCTACCCTTGATCTGGTGTTGTACTTTCCTCCTTCTCCGCCGGTCGAAAGTACACTCCCGCCGCGTCGCTTGTCCAACAGCATGTGCAAAACGGGATTGGTCCGGGTGCCGCCCACATCTTGTATCAACATCAACATCTCAACTAGAGCCACCCAGGGATGTCGGTGATATTCAAAGAGGACACTCTCCCTTCGAGGTTGCTTGCCTCAGGATGTCTCAAACAGTGACTCACCGGCCAAAGGACCAAAGCATTCGACAAATGTCTTGTGTATTGAAAGTGGGGGTTCTAAACTCAAATAGGACACATGGCACAAATCAACACGACAACCGTGTGTTCGGGGAAATGGCTTCCACCAGTTTCCGAATCGTGCATTTGAATGACATGGGTCCCTGGGTGAGCTGTTGCCACAATGCTCTCCGAGACCCTTGTTGAACCCCCCTTCCATCATCAGAAATTCTAGATCGTCAACTCTCAACCCAAACGCTCCGTGAAACGACGCCCGACGGGTCTCTCAAAACCTAGGGATTGATTCGACCCCAAACCCCTCCGCAGGATTCGGGACCCCTCCAAAGGATTCAGGTCCATGAGCGTCTGGGTAGACCTCAAACGGCTAGCTTCACTCAACAACTTCGAGATGATGATGGTTAGCAAAGGCCTTGTTCAAACATGATATTTGTTTACTGACTGTTACAAGTAAGACCACATACCAGCAGTCACAAGACGGGGTGCGGTCCATGGAGGATACGGGTGCCCAGCTACTCCACTCACTGGATGGGACGAGCCACACCACCCCGTCTTGACAGGGGTCAATCAGGTTCTAGGCATATGGTTCTAGGCATATATAGGCATATATATATATTGCATGTGATCTAGGGCTTTCTCGATCGACTCGGCACCCGGCTGCCTGTCATGACTTTGTTCAACCGCGGAAGCTGACCGCGTCGATCGTGGAGGCGCGGTCGGCTCGCTGCGCCCGGCACGGTGGCCGGTGGAGCGGTGAAAAAACAGGCGTTCGGTGAGGTCGGCGTTCGGTGAGAGAACGGCGCTTGCATCGTTGAATCAAGGTGAATCTGGACCGGGGCCAGGCCGGAGCCGGGCCAAAGGGGTCCTTCCTTTTTTGGGGTCACCTGACCATTGACCCAATGCATTGCATTTTTTGGGGGGTCTTGGAAGGTTGAGGGAACGAGTTTTAGTGTGTTTCCGAGCTGAGAAGTCGACCAGGATCCTGGACATGAGTGGCGTTCGACTACCCTACCCTTCGACTACCAGGTCTCCTGGACTGGGACTTTGACATCCGGTCCTCGTTGTTCACCCTAAGGATCCGGTCGTCCGGACCCTCCAGTTCACAAGGGGGTCGAACCCTGCTGTTCACAAGGCTTTGGGCACCCCGAACCAAACCCTGGTTTTTGGAGGGTGCGGATCCTTGGGTTTTGCCCATCGTCTTGCCGGTCTGGCACCCACTGGGATGTCACCAAGCTCCTACATCTGTTCCAAGCTTCAACATCTGTCACCATCTGCACACCTCACCTCTTCAAGGACGGTGAAAACGGATGAACGTTGCCAAACCTCTCCTGCATTCGCTGGGAGGCCGCTGCCTGTGGCTCCTTTGGCCCAAAGGCTTCGAAACGCTTCGAAGACGGTGGGGGTGGACCGGACCGCTCCGGCGGTCGTCATGCTCGGGTTCCGACGCGTGGTCCCATGGTTTAGCTTGATCCAATGAACGAGGCGAAAGAAAACACCAGCAATGATGTTTTCCAAGAGCCTTCGAGGGAAGCTGCCAGCTCAAAATCCGCAGGTCCACTGTTTAGAGTCGGAGGCCTCCACAATGGTCCCGAGAGTCGTCGTGCTTTGGGGGCTTCGGTCAGTGAAGGACTTGAAGCTTTCTGACCGCTCCTCCGATGTCAGACTGGCGCGGACTGCCGCGCCGGAAAAGACCCTGGGACCAACGCGGAATCGGAACATGTTTGGCCAGGTCTCTGTGCACTGGTGATGTAGCGATGTACTTGGTACATACAGGATCGGACCACGTGCAGCACTTGGAAGGACTGATCTCAGTGAGAAGAAGGCAATCCCGAAGAAGGCAACAACGAGAGTACCGAGAGCCGTTTTCGGTTTGAACGTTGGAAGCTGCACTTGGGAGACCCCAATACACTGAGCCACCTGTTCGCTCAATCCACCGGATCTCACGAGCTGCGGCAGCGTGCCTTGCGGCGATGAAGCGTCGACTGAGTCTTCTCGACGGGCAGGTTTCGTCCCACCCCTGTAGCCAAGGCCTCCGTTGAGTCTCCCTTCTGACTACTTGCTCTCTTGCGCAAGCGCAAGCAGCTGTTTGAGATCATGTGTTTCTCAAACACTCATGGGGTCAGGATAAAGGTATAAAGGTACCAGGTGAAGCATGTCCATGGAGTTTCCTCCGTGGCACCCAAATGACCCACCGTCAGTTCCGCCCTTGGTATCTTTCCTCCGTGGCCTCTCCTCGGAATGGTCCCGTCGTCCGACCTCGTGTCCTCCGTGGTGTTCCCGGATCACCTCGAACCCATCATCGAAGCATCTTCTCAGAACCGAAGGCGAAGAACTTTGAGGGCCCTCAAAAAGCCGCCTTTACGGACTCGGACGGACCAAAAACCGAAGGACTTAGCATGTGGTCAAGGCTCTTTAAGGTCGAGCCGTTTCTGAACCCAACGTCGGCTTTTCAACCGGACTCTCTTTCCTGGGTCTCAGGATGTCTCAGGCATGAAAGGAAGATTGCTCCCTGCTGAAGTGAGCGTTTCCACCTGAACACAAGCCCCAAAAGCTCCCGGAACAGGGCATCATCTGCCAATTCATCCATAAATAGATCTAGGATCTATGACCTTCTCAAATGGTCTAACATCCTTCTTTCCAGCTTCGCCTTCGCTCACCTCACCGCCCTGTCTGACCGCCCCCTCGCCGCCTTCACCACTTCGGCGGCACGCGGCGCCGCGGAATGGCCACCACCAAGCGTCGCGAGGCCTCCGTCTGCGGCCGCGAGGGCGGCGGAGCCGCCGCGGCCGCGCCGTCGCCGGCGGGGCGGCGTTCGAGCTGTGTCATCCTGCGACGGAAGCGTGAAGAAAGCTGCGCAAAAGCTGCGGCTGAAAGAGGGTGTGACAAAAGGTGAAGAAAGCTTGCTTTGGAGGCAGTTGTTTTGTGGCTTCCTGATCTCTCTCTCTCTCTCTCTGTTCATGTTGTCTTTGCTCAGTCGGTCCGACCACTCCCACAACAAGAACGATCTGAAAGATAGATGTTGCTTCGTTCTCAGCACATTCCTCCCACTCAGAACGAAGGCAAAAGACCGCCGGCCACCCACGACTGGCTTCCTTCCACCTAAACGCTCGTTGCGTTTGACTGAGGGGTGGCTCTCCTGGTCGCCATCTGCGCCTGTGTGGTGTGCATGTCGTGGAGCTGCTTCCTTGGTCTTTTCGGGCTTGGCAGTGGGCCGTGGGCACAGCGGAACCAAGACTCGAGCTCTCGACGAGAACCTCGCCAGCCTAGCGGCACTTGCCAGACATCCTTTGGTTTCCAAGGATCCTTCCTTGACCCTGACTTCAGAACAGCTGGTCAAACCCAGGCGCGAAGGAAGCAACCAGCAATCAAGTACGCTTCTTCAGACAGTTTTCGGGCAACAAAGCCATTTTCATCAGCCCGTTCTGAGATGAGTGTAGCAATATGACATGGGACATTGGGTTTCGCCACTGGTTTGGCCTGTTCCCACGCCTGTTGAAAGATCAGCCATTGTTTGAACCAAACAGAAAGAGATCGAAAGGCTTCCTCTCAGAAACGAGGATTCAAACAACCATGGATTCGCCATGTGTAGCATTCAGAATTCCTTCAGCATGCGCCCGCTTCGGCGGTGTTCTGAAAAAAAACAGCGCGTTGTCACGGTTCGATTTCTTGGGCGATTTGAAAAGCACGTCGAAATTCCATGAATACAAAAACGGGACACTTCAAATTGAGAGGGTCTGGGGATTCCGGCGCGAAGCGAGGAATCGGAACTAGGATTCTGAATTGTCCCCTGCAACAAGAACGTCAGAAAGTTTGGCGGCCTCTTTTTGGAAGGCTCAACTTCTGTGAGCAAAAGGGGCAGGGCAGTTTTCATGTGCACACCTTTCTTGTTGAGCAAACACATGCAAATGGCTTCTGACAAAAAATGAAGAGCATTCACTAGGACCCCAAAATGCAGAAACACTTGAACAGAACTGCTTGAGCGAACAAAGAGCTGTTAGTTACAACTGCTCTTTGGGTGAAGT